CCCCTAAGGTCGCTACGATCTTTTAAAGGGGCTCCCCTGAAGATGGTTTTTCCCTAATATTTCCGAAACTTGTTGAGATAAAGACATAAAATTTGGTATTCTACCCTAGTTTTTTATGCTGGATTTAAAAATATTAACAATTTTAGACAGTTTTATTTGGAAGCGTATGTAACAGGGCCGGACTCTGGTTATTTGAGCCCCATAATTTTTGTGTGATACTATTTTTAAAATTCAATTTTAGAATTTGAAAATTTAGGGTTTTCTACATAAAAAAGGTACTCTCATTGAATATCGATAAATTGTGCCATTTTTGAATAAAAAATTTGTCACATGATAGGAAATGTACTGCGAATTTAAATGAATTGTTGAATAATTAGCCATGTCATCGAAAAAACTAATTTAATAATTGGTAAATATTACATAAATACATATTTCTATTGCGACGTAGCTAACATTTAGGCAAAAACAAAAGAAATACATTTTTTCTACGAATGAAATTGAAATTTATTTAAAAAGGAAGACATACAGCTGGATATACTTAAAACTAGCTTTACAATAAGTGTTCAAATAAATTTCCATTTTGTTGGATACAGAGTCTCGCTCGACGAACTAATGATTGCGAAGCCCGAAAAGTGCAAAACCGTTCTCGTCTTATTTCATTTGCAGCCTGATGGATTCTTTGAAGTAAATCTTCTTGAGTATTTACTTCAGTCGAGTAAACTAGGTCTTTTAATGACCCCCAAAAATAGAAATCCAATGGATATAGGTCAGGTGAACGTGGCGGCCACGCTATAGGACCTCCTCGGCCTAACCACCTGTCTGGAAAATTGACATTCAACCAATTTCGAACATTGCGTCCAAAATGTGCAGCGGCGCCATCATGTTGAAAAAACATATTTTCTTGAAACTGCTGGCGCACATCCAATGGTATTATATCCAAGAGCTCATTCTGAAGAAAGTTCAGATACACCTCTGAATTAAGACGATTGGGAAGTACAATAGGCCCAATTACTTGATCCCCAATTACTCCTGCCCATAAGTTCAATGAAAATCTATGTTGGAAATTTGTACGGCGAACAACTTTTGGATTTTCATCTGACCAGTGATGCATGTTATGGAAATTAAAAGCACCATTCCTAGTAAATATTGACTCATCCGACCATAATATTCTAGGAATAGTGTTTTCATTTGCTAATATCCACTGGCAAAACTCGATTCGTGGTAAAAAATCTGCCTCCGTTAAATGCTGCACCCGTTTAAAATGATAAGGATGTAATCCTTGCATTCTTGTCATTCTTCCTATCTAAAATTATTATTTTTAGGATAACTATCAAATAGGTATTCATAAATTTTTCTTACTATTGATCGAGGTATATCCATATTTTCTGAAACATTTCGTATGCTTATTTGCGGATTATTTTCAAACATATTTAAAGCAATATCCATACGATGATTTTCCCTTCCTGAGCCCTGCATGCGCTGAAAACTTCCATGATTTGACAAATTCCGGTGAATATCAGTAAACATTCGACGTCCAGGTACTATGCGATTGGGAAATCTTCTTTGATATTCTCTTACGGCTGCCAATGAACTGCCATTGCAAAACCCGTACACAAAATGCATGCAGTCAGCTCCCTGTCTGTAAATCTTGACATTTTAAATCGATTTAATAAACATTTTGATTTTAATCTAGTAATTTTACACTGCTAACAATGTCAGCTTAACGTCAAAATAAGTCATAATGAATCAAAGCAACTTTTGTTTGCAGTCATGGCTAACTATGTATAATCAACAATTTCTATCATGTGACAAATTTTTTAGTTTGATTTTATTCAAAAATGGCACAATTTGTCGATATTCAATAGGAGTACCTTTTTTATGTAGAAAACCCTAAATTTTCAAATTCTAAAATTGAATTTCAAAAATAGATCACACAAAAATTTGGGGCCAAAATAACCTCCTGTTACATACGCTTCCAAACAAAACTGTCTAAAATTGTTAATATTTTTAAATCCAGCATAAGAAAACTAGGCTAGGATACCAAATTTTATGTCTTTATCTCAACACGTTTCGGAAATATTAAGGAAAAACCATCTCCAGGGGAGCCCCTTTAAAAGACCGTAGCGCCCTTAGGGGACGTTTTTCGACCTATGTTTATATAAACTTTTTTTCCTATTTTAAGCTCTGGAAACCGCTGGTAGAATATTGCACACTTTTTTCGGAACACCCTGTATATTCAGGTAGATTGTGAAGCAAAATTACTGCTAGTATCTGCTAGATATTAATTGATTTTTATATGACAGTGATGAAAAGAACTGAACTTAATCCTTATGGTAAACAATTTCCACTATTTTTCAGAAAATAAGGAATATGCATGTGATTCAAATATCGGTTATTCACAGTCTATATTGCTACAGAATGACACTCACAGTTATTTTCAACTTACAAAATATAACGGAGATAAATCAACCAAGACATATATTAGGAAAATGGAGATTGATGCATCTATTGGATGTTACGATGTCTCGAACAAATAATCCACCCATTATTTGTTTGGTGGGCGATGACAGGGCCACCTAGCGGACAGACATATTTGTCCTTGACATAAGCAATATAAAAAAGCAGATATTAGTGAACATAAGTTTAGTCGTTTTGAGGCTAAAAACAATTTGAATTTCATACTGACAATTCTACCATACCTATATTCCACTATCAAGTTGACGATGTTTCCCTGTTTGTCCGCCACCTGCATGGCGAGAGTTTAGTTCCCCCACTATGCACTACACTCCCGACAAATACACAGGTTAAACTTAAAAATGTCAGCACCGTCGCCATTTATGGTGCCGCATTACACCCGAAATGCAAACAATTATATCTACGGCCGGACAAAGTAAAAAAATCAGAGAAGCTTTCGAGTAGCATTAAAAATGAACAAATAAATAAGGAGAGGAAGGCATTAAAGAGTCCCTTCGCTAAAAAATGGGGCTTAACCCACGGAAGCTTATTCAAGTATACTTGACAACGTAGATTTTAATATATAAAATATTGCTACATTGTAATGCATTGACGTGCATGTTGATAGAACATATGGTTTTAGAAAGATGAATTGTTTCTTTTAAAATATAGAAGTGCAGACTGCAAAGCATTCTTTATTCATTTATATAATGAAATTAAACTCACGAAGTATTCCACTCAACATTACTTAGCGACTGTTGATCAGTGCTTTTAGCACCTTTAAATTCTTTCATTACTGATAATTTGTCAAATTTGACCAGTAGGAAAATGCTTCTCTAATTTGTTATTTTCACTTTTTCTAATACGTACATATACAGGATGTTCATTTGAAAACTTCCCACACGGATTTATCGAAAACCACTGATTAAAATAAAAAACGCCGAGACATGTTAAAAGATTTGGACCGCCAGGGTGATTCCCTTAAAAATTTTAAATGACAAGGGATATCGAGTAATAGCTTGTTTGAATGGTATTTCAAAGTCCATTATTTTGACGGTTGATTTTTTAAAATCAGTAGTATCGTTTTAGAGAAAATTAGAAAAATCTTTATTTATCTTAATTTGTTCAGATAGAAAACAAAAGCATACGAAAATATTTCTCTTTATTCCAATAAGTGTACAAAATGTTGCCCGTTAGGGTTTGCCAAATCTACAATTCGTGCTTAATTTAAAACGGAAACTACCAACATAAACAGCAATTGGGAAGATTAGACGTGGCAACAACCAAATAACAACCCGAATTCTTTTCGTCAACACAGACATCCTGTATTTATTGTTATAGTTATAGTTTTGTCAACAAATGACTGCAGCGAATAATGATAATACCATTCATGTAAGAATATATGATTCAGTGGTGAATGCATATTTTATCTAAATGGATTTGTTAATAAGAATAACTGCAGGTATTGGAGCAATGATAATCCTCATGCTTTTGTAGAAGGGCAAACCCAGTTCCCCCAAAAAATTAATGTATGGGCAGGCATTTTAGGAAACAAAGTGATTGGGTTATTGTTCATTAATGGAAATTTGAATGGAGACATTTATTCGGATATGTTGGAAAATATCATCTATCCGCTTATCACTGATGCCATTGAAAACCAAATCGAAGAGGATGTAAACCGTATTCTTGATGAGGCTGAGATATATTTCCAGCAAGACGGCGCTCCTCCTCACTTTGTTCTTCCGGTTGGGCAATGGCTAGACGACGAGTTTCCAGATAAATGGATAGGGCGAAAAGGGCCTATAAAATGCCCTGCTAGATCTCCTGATTTGACGCCATTAGACTTTTTTCACGGAGCCATTTGAAATCTATTGTGCTTACTCCCCAACCTGGAAGTTTGGATGAAAATGTCCGTCAGGAATTTGAGCATCGCTTATATCATTGTTTGGCCAACAACAGGCAACATTTTCAACACTTATTGAAATAAAAATTGATATGTTCATGAGTTTTTGTTTTCTATCTGAACAAATTAAGATAAATAAAGATTTTTCTTATTTTCTTGAAAACGAATCGACCGATTTTGAAGGACTTTGAAAGACCTTTCAAACAAGCTATTTACTTGATACCTCTTGTCATTTAAAATTCTCAAGGGAATGACCCTGAGGGGCCGAGGGTGAAAGGGAGTGAAGTAGTTGTTGGTTAAAAAGTTGTCCCCCTTGACAAATCTTTTGACGTGTCTCGGTGTTTTTGCGTCTTTCAATCAGTGGTTTTCGATAAATCCGTGGTGGGAAGTTTTCAAATGAACACACTGTATGTATTTTGAAAATAGATCTTTCAACTTACTCTCTGACTTGCACTAAGCAACGACGTTGGCAGAACATAAAAAATAAGTCTCAACGACTTTTCAGTATACTATTGATTGTATCAAAACATACGGTATGATGATACAATTTTATCTGAACAACCTTATATCGAGTATGATATTCTTAATATAGCGTTAAGCTATACTCAAAAGATTAACTGCATCCCAGTTAATTATCTTGCAGTGCCTCATCGTTTTGGTTCTGTGCCACGCTTTGTTCAATAACGATGTATTGGGAAGTACAGTATACATAGCAGACTATGGTATGTCCAGGATGATCGAGCTTACCACTCGACCACCATACTGCGTTGTACAGAGAGACAGGTGAGACACTTACTTCCAAGAGTCACCACTTTCTATTTAGGGCGTCCTGTCCCATAAATAGAACATTAGCCTTTTAGATTCATAACATATAAGTAAAATAAGAAATACATTTTTAAAAACAAACTTTTATTTAGCTAATAATAAAACGAACTAAAAATTTAATAATAACGATAATGAAACTCTTTCTTCTTAAGTTTTTAAATCAAAGTGTGTTACACCCTCGAGTGAAAATTTGAGATGAAGGACCTTCATTATTGTTTAATTTCCATTCGGAAAAAATATTTCTGAATTTTTAGTTCGTTTTATCTGCTAAACAATAACTTATTAAAAATGTATTTTTTGATTTCATTTATTTTTAGTATTTATGATGTTAAATAACTAGTTTGGTAGTTTCTATATAATTTTCATACATTTTATAAATAGGACTCCATAAAACTTATTTTTTTGAACTACAAAATTTCAATAGATACGAATCATATAATTATAAATCTACATTTTGCGTCTATCGCCATATGGAATGACGTTATTTGCTTATTGTGCTTGCCCTTTAATTTGATTCATATATCATTCGGGTGACTATAGTAACTACAAACGCCACCTTGGGGCGATGGTCTCACTGTGCTTATCGTGTTTTTCGTATCAAGCCCTTTGATTTGATACCCATATCACATCGGTGACTATGAAAAACATAAACCATTTTGTGGCGGGGGTCATATTGGATTTAAAATGACGCCGCTTTGTTCCTTGTGTTCCTCTCATCAAGTTCTTTCGTTTGATACCCATATCATAGGGGTGAGTACGAAAAATGTAAATAGCCATTTTGCGGCGGCCGCAATATTAGATTTACAATGATGTCACTTTGTTTATTGTTTCGCTCATCAAGCTCTTTTTTGATACCCACATCATAGGTGTTGCAATGGACATGATAAATCGCCGTTTTGTAACGTCCGCCATATTGGATTCAAAATGGCGGCAGTTCATTAATTTTGTATTGTTATGCAAACCAAACGTCTGTACAAAATTTCAACTCAATTGATTATTAACCGGTTTAAAATTCAGTTCCAAGATACACATACATATAAACAGGTCACGTTGATTAAAAGCTTGTGAAAAGGTACGTGTCCGTAGATCCGCATCCGACTCTTCCCATAAAACGGGTTGATTTCGGTGTGTCCACTGCGACCGCAGCAATCAGATTGTCAACGCCATGGCCATTTGGAATCTTATTCCAGTATAGTATTCTGATTTTCATCCACAATCTCAGCCGACATAATGAAAATGAATCCACGCGATCGGTGTCGTCGTTAGTGAGGCGTCCACTGATGGACAATCCGTTTGACGTCAACGGCACGTAGAGATCCAATTCGGGCTGACGATGTTGCATTGTGTTTCATCCGTTCCATGAGAATAAGCAGGTGGACTTGTGTTTAATAATATCTGCAACGCTTTATAAAATTGGTTTTGTGCCATCAGTTCGATGCGGTCCTCCGGACGCGTACCTTTACCAAATGCGTCACACTATCAGCGATAATTAACGTAACAATATTGACTGCCCGAACCGCGTAATTTTTCTATCATCTATGCAGATCATAGACGAGAATCAGAATGTTGCACCAAAAATAAGATTGCAAACTGACAACCAATGACAAAGCGGTTGCTACGGATACAGTGAACGCACTACGATAAATTAATCCGTTTGATTGAACGTCTGATTCGTTATGCGGACTTGTATACGCGTACCTTAAGACTACTCAGAAACACCATTTTTATATCACTGAAATTTAGATTCTGATGGCGATTCTAAACGGGCTGTATTTCTACTACCAGCCTATATTGCTACACGTTTCACATTTTCGACATATTCTCATATATTGATGATGCGTACAATTTCGTCAGTAGTTCTTGCCTGATTTCGTTGCCCTTCTGATGAGACGTTCTAGAAAGGTATGCGATACATACCGCCGGCAATATTGCCAAGATATAGCCGAAACATACAGGGTGCTCCTTAATGATATGCGAATATTTAAGGGTGTGAATCTACATGAAAAATTAATGTTAGTTTGCTTTATAAACTATGGTCCAAAAATGTAATAATTGAAGAATGCAATTTAGCAATAAATATCTAGTTGCTCTGGAATATGTCACTGGCTTTTGACATCTGACAAGTGTCTGTTATTCAAATCTGTTCGCTGTGACATCTTTTTCATTATTTAGTTTTTACAATCTTGTTAATAATGGTGAATTATTCAAATGCAGAAATGGCGGAAATGCATTACGTATATGGCCTTGACCACGGTAATGGTGAGCAAGCCAGACGGATTTATCTCCACAGATATCCCGATCGTGCTTGGCCAGATAGTCGAACCTTTTCTAATGTTCATCGTCGTCTAGTTGAAACTGGTTCTGTCCGAAAAGGAATATCTGAAGGTAGACCTCTAAATGTGAGAACACCTGAAATTGAGGAAGCAGTGCTGCACGAAGTCGAACTACATCCTGAAACGAGTACGAGGAATATCGCTAGACACTCAACTATTTGCCATCAAATTGTTTGAAGAATTTTAGAGGATTTTTTGTTGTATCCTTACCATATTTTAAGAGTACAGGCATTACTTTCCATTGATTTTCCAAGGCGTGTGACCTTTTGTCAGTGGTATGATTCAAAAAATTACACAAAATCCGCAATTTGGATCAATGATTCTGTTCACGGACGCAGCTAATTTTTCTCGAAATGCCATTCAGAATTTCCACAATAATCATTTGTTGGCAGAAGAAAATCCCTATGATGTAACCGAAACCCATTTCCAACACCAATTTTCAGTTAACGTATGGGCAGAAATTATTGGCAACCACTTTATTGGCCCATTCTTCTTGCCGGGACGACTTGACGGACAGACTTACCTCAATTTTCTGCAACAACAGTTGCCTTTGCTGCTTGATGATGTTCCGTTAGTAATCAGGAACAATATGTGGTACATGCATGATGGTGCACCAGCGCATTTCAGTGTAGCGGTTCGTAATTATTTACAAACTGTTTATCCATATTATTGGATTGGCCGCGATGGGCCCCCAGTCCTCAACAGTTTAGATTTTTTTGTGGGGCTATCTTAAGATACTAGTGTACACAAGTCCCTTTAACACTGTAGAGGAATTAAGAGAAAGAATAGTTGCAGCTTGTGATAGAATAAAAAACACTCCAGGGATATTTCAACGAGTGCGCAATTCCATGGGAAGGAGGGCGGAAGCATGCATAAGTGAAGGGGGCAATTTTCAACAATTTTTGTAATCATTTCGTTGGTTTTAATGATATGTTTATGTTGTCTGCTGTTGTTGTTCATTACCCCTAATGTGTTTAATTTTTCCAATTAAATTAATAATAATTTTGCAAGTTAGAGAATAGAACGGTTTTTATTTTTTACTCAAAAATGGCGCAACGAATTAAAACAATTCAAGAGAGATCATTTGTTTTTTATTTGGCAATAAACCATTGGCGTACCATTTTTTTCTTAAAAAATATCGAAGGCAATACCCGTATACGCACGCCACTAGCTAAAAATTATGTTTGCATTGAAAATTATGCAGATTTATTAAATTTCACTGCGTACTAAATATCAGTGAAATATCTGAAGCGGTTCTGGAAATATTAATTAATTTCCATTTTTTTCCTGAAACTTCAAAACACCTCGAGTTTTTGTAAGGAAACATCATTTTTGGACCATAGTTTATAAAGCAAACTAACATTAATTTTTAATGTAGATTCACACCCTCAATTATTCGCATATCATTAAGGAACACCCTGTATTGTATAGGCAGACCATAAGCATTGCTCGTTTAGATGCTCCACTGGACGAGATGAACAGCTTGTAATTGGTCATGAGTTAAGGCTTATTATTAATTTTTAGAGGAAAAATCCGGAATATGCTTCTGATGTCAGACCCTCGCAGGATGAGACAAATGACAGACGAGGCGATAGACAAGTTGGAAAAGGTTTGCAAATCCGGAACAATCCAGTCCCCACATCAAGGCGGATTCATTTATCCAGGAACCAAGTGGTGCGGGCCAGGTGATTTTCATTCAAATTGTTTCAACTTCCTTATTATCCGCTAGCTTCCAGTCCTGCGATTTTACCTGGGGAACGTTCATGTGTCGCCACTAATAATGTAACCAAATTTCCCGAAGCATTACCCAAAAACAATGTTTTTGTGCATGTATTTATACTGTGAGTTTGGTTCAAATAAAATAATAATTGATGGGATATTTTTTAGGAACGATAGCGACAAATTATTCAGACTTAGGTATCCACGAGAAGGAAGACATATGCTGCAGAGATCATGACAATTGTCCAATTTTTCTGGCAGCCGGTGAATGCAGGCAGGGAATATGTAATCACTCCCCTTTCACAAGGTGAATATTTTAATCACTTGCACTATCAGTAGAAAATTGATTTTTGTCATAAGGTTTTTCATAAGAAACATCATTGGTTTGATAGTCCCATACAGTATTGCTGGAATGATTTAAATATTGTAATGGTTGCTGATGACTTGACTTGATTAACTACCGAACTCCTGTTGAAATTAACGCTGTGAATGAGGAAGTACGGATATTTTCAATTTATATTTTATTTCAAAAATAAGATTATTATAATTTGACAGGGAAGAAGAGATTTCTAATAGATGAAAATGTGAAGGCACTTGAAGACACAAATTAATGTTTCAAGTCAATCTGCTAGAAGCTAGAGTATAAGTATTGTGTCGCACTGTGTTATCAAGCCCTGTATGGTCGTGAAAATAAAAGCTTAATATGATTTCAATGGTTTTAAAATATAATGAAATATATTATTATCATTTCGCGATAAAGCTTTTTTATGTGCATATTGTAACAAGGGATTTGAAAATATCTAAAACTGTCAGATACAGCCATGCAAACAAATTAATGATATCATGTTGCCTAACTAAGAGATGAACTGATCTAGTGCACTGTAGATGACTGTTCCAGATTATTAGAAATCCATTGTTGGAAATAACCGATAGTTGGTCAAGCTAAATCTCTTTGAAACAATAGCCTCAGCTGGGTTATAAAAAGAACTAATCCAGAACGGCTCCGATTATGTGCAGTTCTGACAGCCCATTTAAAGCAATGCAAAAATTCAGACTTTAGTCGTCCATAGCTCAAGAAAGAAATGTGAACTGAAATTTGGGAAAACTAATATCAAACCACTTTTATTCAAGACACAATTCCATCAAATTTGTTCGCCAGATAGGCCAAAATTGTGGTCGCTCTTATACTTTGTGGGTATTTTAGGATCATCTTACGCATGAATAACACCATACTTGAGAAGAATTTTTATTCCCGCCTCGACAACATCAAGATGAATAATATATTTCAGGTCACATTGTGATTGTGATGCAGCCTTCCGAAAATGCTTACAAAACGTGAATTCAGAATCAGCGAACACTATCGGTGCTATATTTTTCAACATTATTCAAGTTATCTGTTTTAAAGAAAGGACGCCCTGCAGTCAATGGCAAAGGTAACGAACATCTTTAAGCACGCTTAATATGTTTTTGTGGTACATTATAGTAATTATTGTGTTGTTTTTGTTCTTATCACGTGGATAGCTTGCTTCTTAATTGCTTTGATAATTCTTATGTTTTCTACTACGTTTAGGAACAGTACCAATCCATTTTTTTGACATTTGTTTCGATTAAAACTGTCACTAACAATAAAGATTGAGGAGTTGTTTCTCGGAGCTCTATTATCCGTAAAGGTTTTTGATTCATGATTCAAAAAATTTTATAAACAATGGGAGTCGGAGAAACAGAATCTCAAATAATCCAAATTGTCATCAAATTTCAAACAACAAAAAATAAACGTGTAGTGCAAAAACATCAATTTCTTCAATTTTTTTTGTATTGCAATGGGATTGCTTATAGTCCATAGTTTTTCTTGATAATATAGCATAGACATGTTTTGAATCTTCTTTCGTTTTTTTTTGTATGTTGCTTTTTTATTCTTTCCTGTTTGTTGTAGTTTGCAGTCCACCCTGCATGGCAGTAGAGATAAAAACTGTGATACCTCAACAAGTGCTAGTAAATATGTATTTAAAAAATCTGGTAGATATATAGGTACTAGAGTAACTAGAGTAGACGTAAGGCAAGCAAAAGAGTATTTCGTAAATCATATACTGAGAAAATTTGGTTTTCTTTGATAGCTTGTGCCATCAAAAAATCATATAGTCCATCCCAGATCATTTGCCTTTTTCATGCCAAGAAATTGGCCAGTGTCTAAAGTGTAATTTCATGTTAGTTTTGTAGTCACATGTCACATGCCCAGTAATTTGGCAGAACCAAATGATATTTATCAACATATACATACATAGCATATAGTAAATGGGTGAAACAAAATTTCCACGACACGGAGCTTTGTAAAAATTCAGGGTCTTAGATTGAACCACGCGCTCAAAGATTGTAGGTTCGGAAAACATGTAATTTTAGCGTGTTTATAAATGTTCCTCCTTTTGCAACTCCTTGCCGTGGAAACTATTGGACCCATAATATACGACTACTCCAAAGTAAATTTGTTCAAGAAACTCATAAAATCACCTACAAATTGCAGTCTGAAAATTCGGTTTGACAGATATTTGGCTCAAGTTTTTCAAACGGTCTTTTTGCTAAAGGCCTAGCCTATCTGACTATATACATTGAATCTTGTACTTGGGTCTTTAAATTGATCGTATTGGTTTTTGGACCAGAACTGGCCATTCTCATGTTACTCGATTGCGACTCATGTCTCAGATTAGGCTCAATTTTTGCAAAGGCATGAAGCTTTGAATAATCTCAGATCCCTAGGTCAAAGGGTTTGGTTTAGAGATGAGGTATATTGAACCACTGATAAGAAAACAATTAATCATTTAACCGCTATGGTATGTTAAACAGATTTTTTCTTTTGGAAGGATTTTATATGAATATATAGCACATTTTATTATATATTCGGATATACCCTTTCAAGAAAGGAAGATCGATATAGAATAATATATCGCCCAGCCGCCATATTGAGATTTTTAACTGCCACTTTTACACTAAAGTCTAGTATTCATGCATACATTTCATAACTCCGAGTTTCAGCTTTTTTAGCTGACCCATTCAAAAACAAGTAGAGGGGACCTTTCGTAAAAGCATTGGATATACTATTGGAGCTTGAGCTAATTCTAGAGGCTGCTTAAGCTTCAAGGGACAGGAGCAGCGAGAAAATGGGAAGGTCGCCAAAACGATAAAATTCACATTTTGTCTGACCCTACAATTTTTTTGGTGCATCTCCATACCAAACTGTTTGACCTAAGACCCTAAAATTTTACATGAAATCTCCAGGAAAATCATTTGAGTCAATCTGAAATATGAGCCGCGAAACCAGGTCGTGGAGTTATAGTTTTAAACTATTATTGATTAAATTACCATTTCAACCTGCAGTTCAAGGCCAGAAACTGCAAGAATGATCAGCGTTCGCGTCCTGTTCAAATGCATATCTCGAATGTTCTATCAAAAATAATTTCCTACACAATGTGCAAAAAGCTTCAAACTGCAAGGCTGTGATATTTGTTTGTCATAGAAACGGTTATACTAAGTCCGAAGGAGACACCATATGCGCCCAGATACACTTCAGGCCATCGGAGAAATATGTACCAAATATGCCGTTGCCATAGAAATCTTGCCTAATCAAGGAAATGCTGCAATAATGCTGCTTCAGCAATACAAATTATCAGGTGATTTAGAACATAGTTTATAGAATGGTTAAGAATTAGCTGTGAAGATAAAGTTTATCAGGTGTTATGAAGTGTTTTCTGTATAAAAAGAACAATGGGATAAGCCTTTTACAAAACTCCTTTGGTAGTAGTTTATCTTGTTGTTCTTTTTATTAAGAGTAATAAAAACAGATTGTGATGTTAGATATTTAGGGAGTTATCATAGATTTATATAGAGTTTAATAAATGAATATGAAAAACACATGGTCTTTATTTACCTTTTCAAATTAAAAAAAAACAGAGGAAAAATAATACGCCATTCACAGACACAATGACATTAAGAAAGTTACAAAATCAGTATATTTAAATTAAAGGAATACACAATGTCCTAGTTGGTTTCAATGTCCATATCACCTCTGTCATCCACTGCAAAAAAAAATGATAATTGATATCCAAGAATAATGAAAAACAATCTGAAAATGAAACAGTACTACCAACAACCAAAATGGACCCGAGAGTTGACAGTATTGCAAAACTTATTTTAAGTGGATATTTGTTCATATTTCCTCGTTATTTTAAATTAGATGCTAATAACAAGTGATAATCTAAAATATACCCTGAAACGCGTCCGTCTGGTTACGTGACGTCATTATCACCTAACACGTCAACCAAACCAGTTCGCGAACGTGTACATTTTGCCTGTGAGAATTATGAGTAAAAAACTATTATCAATACTGTTTGGTGTCCCATCGGTAAAACCCCTCTTAGAACGAGTAATAATCTGAATACATATGACCATTGAAGCCGGACAACTCGCACAGAAGCATCGGCACTGCTGGAAGGTACGAATCAGTATGAGGTATGCTTTTGAAAGGTTGATATGGATATTTTGAATAATACCAAATCATCACCAGCTATTTGTCAAGTTATGACACAACTATTGCGGAAAATAGTGTAGATTATGATAAAGAAAGATTGCATGTCCCTTGGAAAAATATCATAGCAAACTTTGTTATAGAAACACATCACATCTCTGGAATTTTCAATTTAAATCGCAAAATAATGTGATGAAACATTGAATAATTATTTTTATATTTTAAAATGACAGCATAGCTTGTTCTTTTTATCGATTCCAAAGAATCTAAATACTAACCTTCATTGAACATGAACTCCTGCTGGTACTCTCTGAGAAACTGGACCGACCTACCCTCGTCAAAGAACAACTGATACGCCCTCTTGATATCCTCCACATCAACTTCAAGAGCCTTCCGTTTCCTTGAAATCAGACTGGAGGTCATGATAAGCTGCATTCCATACCTTAACGAAGTCTCTTTGCATATACGCGTCAGTACCGTCAGGGCGTTGTCGGACATTTGGCAGTCCTCTTCTTCACACCGAATGCTGTAATTTTTTAAGTTTTTGAACAAAATGTAAAGCTTTTGTGATTTGATGAAACTGACATATTGCAAAAAAGTGACCGACTGACACTTGATTTGTCAGAAAAGGGACGCATGGGAATTTCATTTTCTAAATATGAAAAAGGTTGGTGGAACTCAGAATAAATGTAATCACTTTATTTATTCTCTTATATTTGTAACAATGAATTGAAATACAAAATCACTAATCAATTTACATTATTTACTTAGTTCAGTGTTAAAATGGTCTTGATAATGAATAGGATCAGGATTTATCAACATGTTCATTACTTCAAAACATTATTGAAATGCTCTCGTGGCTTTAAGATGATCTTTTGGCAGTCACAGTTGGCTGTAATCTATCAGCATCTCGTCTCCATTTACACTATGATTCTGCCTTCTGAGCTTCGCTGACGACAAAGTGTTATATCAATGATAACAAATATTAATTATAGGTTTGAATGCGGTTTTAATTGTCCTAGCATATGTTGAAAGAAAAATTCTGTGACTGATTTCACATTATGTGACAATATACGCCAGAGGTTTCATTGCAATTGAGAAAACGTTTGTGTGGAAAAAATCATGATCGTCATGTTATATGAACGTTACAGTCATCGCACGTGAGTTTCGTAAGCGTCGGCCTATCAGCTAAATGGCAAATCGTATGAACAACAATCTCGTTAACGCGTCTACACTTTTTCGGTGTTCTATTCCTATAAAATCATCCACACCGATTTCATCAAATTGAGCTGCGCGGCCGATTTTGGACCGATTAAATAATCCAAGAATTATATGTTAATTATCAAGACTTGTTATAATTTGGCACTTAAATTGATGAATTGCTGAGTTTGTCGATTTACTCTTTCTCAAACCATATCGTGTTTCAGACATCAGGTTATGTTTAGTGATGTGATTCATAATAAGTTCATAAACTACCAGTTCAAAAAGGTTTGCAAAAGAGGAAAGACATCATGTCTTGTGGATCCCTCTTTTTGAACACTGGAATAATAATTGCAGATTTAAGTTTATCTGGGAAAATACCATATTTTAGACAGGTATTAATGATGTAGGTCAAAGATCTAGCAATGATATAAATGTAGGTCTTTAGTAGGCTTGTAGGAATACCATGTTCACCACTCATTTTGTTTTTTAATTTTTTACTCTAGCTTCAGCAATTCTTCAGCAGTCACATAATCAATTGTTGATAATATTTCACATGAATGCACCATCGTGAAAAGAGAAGCTTGACATGTCGGCCATGATGTTGAGCCACATCGTCGCCATATTCGTTATCCAAAAATCGTGTCTATTGTAGTTACCCTAACAGAGTGCATTTTCAACATCAAGCATTTGGATATCACGAAAGATGTTCCCTGATATTTTACTGAAGCAATCATTCAATAACGCATTCAAAAAGCAATCAAGGGTGAACTAGTCACCAAGGGGGAAACAGGATAATACAAGACTATGATGATTGAGATTAAAAGTCAATGGAAATGATAATGAAGATTTTGTTATCATCAATACATACCTCAAAATTTCTCTAAGTTCCTTTTCATCATATGGTTGTGTAGGGACAATGATAGTTCTATCTAAGAGATCCAATGGAATACCATGTGGTGACTTGTAATTGGTTCCTCTAATCTTGGTTACACCTCTGTTTGTGGCCATTATTACAATGGGAGACATTTCATTTTCTAAAGCTCGGTTCAAAAAGGAGAAGCACTCAATATCTAGCATGTGGACCTGGAAAAATAAATATGGTTTCATTGTGGCAATTTAATACATCTTATAATAAAATGGAAGACCAAAGAACAGACATTCCATTACTGAAACAATTTTTGTGTGATTTTATCAATTACCTCATCAATAAAAAGAACACCAGGAATGATTTCAGCTTTTCCTTCTTCCCTCCATTCTGCAACTTTTCCGTTAATTTGTTCGCGTACTTCAGGTTTTATTTCACCAGTATCACCTAAAAAAGATATCAAGTAGGATATCTAATGAAAAACTATAGTTGTAAGCTCATACCTGAAAACAGTGCTAAGAATCCATGAGTTCTGCTGTTGATAACATCAATTTCATGTAGTGTCACTGTATGAACAACTTCTTTTCGTTTTTGCAGTTCCCCTTCAGGGCACTGAACAAATCTGGTCTGCTGGCCTGTAGCATCATAGTCCCTTGCTCTGGCAAAAGATCTTCCTAATCTTGTAATTTTCCCTAAAAATAGTTGAGAATTAATAGACAAATCTACAACCAAACGTTACTATTAACATCTATCCAGAAGTATTGGTGGCAGATATGTAACCAACTGTGATTTGGAAACTGATATTTCTGAATCACAAAACCACAACTAATACTAAATACTGTGAAAAAGTGAGATGTGGTCACAACTTCAGGAACTAAGTGCTTAACAGCAATGGCAAATGTCATCATGGATTACAGCATTAATGTTTGAATGGAGCTGGTAAGGTCGAGAATCATATGCCACCTGTAAGCCTGCTTATATGCTTTGATAATTGACATTTCATTGCAGTATTTTGTTCAGAATATCAGTATACGCATAATCTCATTGTTATAAGAAAATCGTGTCATGTCACAGATTAATTTAATGAGAATGTTATTGTTTCATTCTTAATGTAAGACTATGTCATTGACAAAAAATCAAGTTGAAAAAATTATTTTTTTTGGGTGTCACCGAGTATATATCACAGATATTTGAAAATAACTATATCAGCCATCTCTAACCAGAAGTACTACATGTTTGTAGTTCATGATTCACCATATTGTATAAAGATAACTACCTACCTGTGGCCTTATCAATGGTGATGACATCCCCAGACTGAACTTTTTCCTTCAGAATACTGTCAATCATTTTACCACCTAGATCATATACTGTCTCCATATCAGTTGTTTTCAAGATCAACTTTCCTACTTTAGTGCCAACACCTGATGCAGGTTTTTCTATTTGCACTTCTACTACTTCTCCTTCAATGATTTCACTCTCTTCTCTAAACAAACAAATGCAATAATCTTATCAAACTATTATTTAACAGATTCTATTCATTAATCACAATTTTAATCAAATAATTGAAGAGAAAAACTGAGTAGTATGAAAAACATTATTTTTCATGTTCTGTTTATAAACACAAAAATGACTACAGCTTTTTTTTTAAATGGGTCATGTGTTTTGCTAGCACTCTTAACATCTTCATAGTGAGATTTAAACTGTTTTCAGAAGTAAATGAAAACAGGTGATGGTGGTCAGCCAAATATGTTTTGGTAATAAATGGTTTGAAGAATGGTCAAACTGTAGCTTTTATAGATGCTGTGTTAAAGGATCCAGTCATAAATAAAAATATTTTACTTACTTTATTCTAACACCAATGCTTTTTCTGATAGCTTGAGTAATAGCTTCAGTTTTGCTCATCTCTAATGAGTATATTTCAGATCCAGCCATGCTAGTAAAAGGTGTATCTTGACCTAGAGCAGCTGCTAGAGCAGTGGCTATTGCAGTTTTTCCAGTCCCTAAAATAGAAAAATAGGATATCAAGTATTGTACCATTTTTATTTTTATCATATCATCATTTAAAAACATCAAATACTTGGTTTGTACTTGGTTGTCAGCCTATTTTACTAAATATAAAGATCAAATATTGCAAAAAGTAATGTCATAATGCTTTCAATGTTAACTCAATATTTTACCTGCTGAATTCAATGGTGAATATTTATATACAGAGCAGTTGCAAAACCAAAAGTCTGAAAATATCATAAGTTTGCTAACCTAGTGTCTTGGAAAGCTAAATCAATTCTAGGAATAAAGAGAGTTGGAAATACAAATATCTAAATACCACTAACATTTGCTGAAATAACCCAGTACAAAACACTCCACCAAATACTCAGCCTAGTACCTGGCATTTGAATCTGGCCAAGAAGCAAGTACTAGGCTTTTGAAAAAAGTAGTACATAATGCATTGCTACTTGTAATATTGGGAAAGTGATGATTGAAATTGTCCATAAGGTAAATAAATTGAAACTGAATAAGTCCATTCTTTTGGTCATTTCAAAGTTTCACCTTAACTAGCATGGTTCAATGATCTACCCGTAAAAAATCAGTAGCAAAACAAACTTGTTTGATCAATAATGCAATTTTCAATGTGCGATTGCCTTACCTGGTTGACCAGCTAACAAAACAGCTCTGCCAGCAATTCTGCCATCCTTAATCATTTGCAACACAATACCAGCAGCTCTTCGGGCAGCAAGCTGCCCCACCATACCTTGTGATACCTGAAAATTGCATCAATAGTTGGAATTATTAAGCTCATTCTCAAATTTTCCAAAAAAAAATGGAAGATGATTTTGTGAAAACTTTTTGGTGGGAGTACTTACATGTCTAGCTTCTAAGCTATCATTAAGTCCTAGGCCTCTGATGTGGGAATGTGCTCCAATACGCTCAACTCTGGTTGTTTCACGTACCTCGACAATCCTTGCAGCAGCTGCAGCCTAAAATATGAATATAAACAAGATTTTATTATAACATTTCACGAAATTTACATGATAAACATGTTAGCGCCCCTTTTACAGTTTGTAGGTTATATTTGAATTCAACAATATCGCATATAAAACAAGTTAATAAAGGTGTTTCTGCTGAAAGGTGGTGGATTTAGGATTTTTCTAACAAACAAAATCTTTAGTACTCACAGCCATTGCGTATATTAGTATAAAAAACAGAAAGTTCGGTCAATATTCAACTCGGCACTTGATGTTTGCGTTTAGCGGAATAAATAAAATGTTGCCAACACATGGCCACCTAAGAAGTCAAAATTTGACATAAGAATCAGTACTGCCAACCTCAGGCACAGCCCAGGTAGGAGTACCGCGCCATCTAGTAGTGACGAAGAGAATGAATAATATTTGTGTACAGAGTGTCCCAAAGACAACAAACCATCTTTAACTAAGTAGTACCGAAACAATATGTATAACAATTTCCTTGGCCGAATTATTATCGGATGATGTAATAAAAAACTGCATTCTTACAAGGTGTCAAAATTCTCAAAAGTGTTTGTGGCACTATTTTCTGTAGCTATATTTCCTACAGACCTAAGATTTTTTTATCGACCACGATCTTTACTTTCTTTTTCCCTTTAACGATTTCAGGTTCACGACTTCCGACGGCAATGACCCTCGTCTTTAAATCTAGACATGTTTACCTTGTGTACCGTTGTAAAACACTTTATATCCTGTAATTTGAAACTTACTATTATGAGCAGTTCCTTTCTAGATTAGTGAGAACTCAGTACATATTCAGTGTGCGACTAGAGTCATGATAATCTTTTGTGGACGTTTAACGTAAATTGTTTGCAGGTCGCATCCTAAAGTGAAAAATCCAATAATAGCAGTGGCTGTAGACATGGGGGCCCATCGGGCGGAGCATGCGGCTCCCCTGGCTTCTGCTTCAAAGTGAAATATCCTTAATAAGATACCCAATCCTTGGGTAAGAAGTGGCGTGTGAGTTTTTTTTGCTCTTCAAAACATCCCAACATACAAGATATATTATTTCTGCTACCCCCCCGCCTCTCCAATTGTCACCAACGGGTTGTTTCAGTTCTCAGCATTTTTTATCCTGCACAACTTGTAAACCGAACATGCCCCTCGCCCTTGATTTTGCTGGGCGCTCATGGTTCTAGAACTGCAGAAAACAAAGCTGGTGATGTTAATGTATTTGCAGTCTTTGTCAGAATATTTTACAGAATTAAGATGGTTATTTTTTTTCGGACTTGATACGGTCAAAGCTGTGTTTCATTCGTCACACGACCAGTATTCACTGTGATGCATCAGTATATATTTATCATGGAATTTGATAACTTATTGACCGTAAAAGTTTTATAAGAGGAATTTGTTACTTTTTATTTTGTGATTTTATATTATTGAATGTATATAATGTATGTTAACATTCATTACGTTTAATTATGTCGATAATAAAAATGCGCAAGAAAATTGCATAATTGCATAGTCCAATTCTCGGCCTAGTAGAATATTAATAAATGATACCAACAAATGGAATGGTTTTACCTAAGAATAATAGTAGCATGAGGGTCGAGGGCCTAGTTGACAGAAATGTGTAGCAGTATTAGGTTTACCAGTGCTTTCCAAAAAGCCCCACTCAATAATTATTTTTGAAAGGGTCAAGTTAGAAAGCCGAAATTCGGAAAAATAAAATTAATGCATGTTTTATGTTCTAGCGTAAAAGTGGCATCCGTTGAAGAGTATGGAACATTTTTTTTGTGGAATGAGGGGAATGTGATACCTCTTATTTTGAAGCTCCTTATGAATACTTCATATCCCTAGATATGAAGTCACTATCTTTCCAAATGACGATCAGGCAGGGTGGCAGATTGTCATACACGTATATAGTTGTGGTCACCGTTCTTGGCGGTTACGTCATCAACGCCATATGAAATAAGTAAACAGATCGAGTCTCTGTACCATGGGCGGATCTTCCAGTACGCATGAAGTGCGTACAGGAGACTGCTGTTTTCGTTTTCTTTCTGGAAATACTCTAATAAATCGTATTTCCGGCCATTGTACAATTTTATATTGAAGATTGATAACAGGAAAACTTAAATTGCACGCCGATGTCAAGTATGTTGTCACTCTGACAAATATGATTGAAGGGCACTCATACGTAACGATAACATTTTCGAAATGGAGACACAACTAGAAAACATATGTTTTTGAGCTTACCGAACAAACGTTCACACACAGGGGTAGGTTGCATGTGTATGTATGAGGGAGATTGAGATATACATATAAAGGAATACTGGTAGAATTACTTTGACCCGCCAAGAACGGTGACTACAACTATAGGTGAGCTTGTTGTATAGTAAGTCTGTCATAACTCAACACCAATCTTCAGAAGCGTATATTATAGTATCTCATATCGATCTTCCTCTTTTGGAACGATCTATCCGAATATGTATTGAACATTTCATTAAAAGCATTATTTAAAAGAAGCAGTTTAATATAAGATACTATAATGTTTTTATGAGCAAACCGTGAGTATTTGATCATTCCATAAAAAACTGATAATGAAAACTAGTAATTTTATATAAATAATTTGTAATATACTGTTTTGTGTGTTATTATACTCGCTTAGGTGTTACACCGTGCTGGCGGGAACTACAATGTTTGGAAAGTGACATTACTCTCTTCGACCACTCTTCACTTTCAGCTTCTTATTGTCTAGAATGAAATTAATTCCACGTAGTGTCGAGTGTTTAATATACTAATATCAAACAAATTCAAAACTTTAGTCATTCCGCTACAGACAAAAACATTAAAAACGCCCAATTTTCAAATGGACCCTTCATAAGTGTTTTATTCTGATGTTCGAATGAATTTTTGGTGGTGTGAAAGATGAGGGTAGAAGGGTGGCATATCAGCTTTTTTTGTAAACGACCAGGATGCTTCCAGGGTCAGGAGTTGAGGATAAGGACCTTTAGTTCTAAAATATTGAATATCCACGTGAGCAGTTGCATCGAATGCAGGTATTTAAAGTGTCAGGCTAATCTCTGCGCTTGAATTAGCAAGAAGACTTGTTTGACGTAAACTCTAGATATTATCAATGGTGCAGTCTAATCCATCTAAAAGCCATCCGTTTCTACTTCTTAGAGTTCAGATGACATGATCTGTCGCAAGCACATGTCGTCAACTGCTGAAGCTGCAGACAGGAAGCTGATATATCTGTTCAAGGCAAGAATTACTTTTCTACATACAACTTCTTCACACCGTACAAAGCACAGGTAAAACGAGCTGAAGTACTATTTACGTGTCTGCTACCGCACCGACTAGCCTCGATTTTAGGATAAACTAGTTTTTCCTAGGCCAAATCAGTGTACCTGGAGACGGGTAGGATGAACTAGTTTATCCTAGTCTAACCTGATTTATCCTAAAAACAATTAAGTGTGATTAGACAATACTGATTTGTCCTAGTCTACATATAGTCTCTTCACAAAAGTAATGTTTTTACTACTAATTGAAGAAAATGATATTATTACAAACATGTTTAATAACTTTTATCATTTACTTGTTGTGGCATTTCGAGTTGCAGAGAACTTTATTTTTCTTACAAAGGCATCGACTTGACGTGCACTTCTTGGTGCAACTGCACTTAAAGACACCTTGGCCTGTTCCATCTGAATGATTGATTGCTGCGGTTCTTAATGAAAGTTCAATGTTTTTGTTCACTTCTTCTTCCACTAAAAACTTTTGTGTGCAGATATCAAATTCATTTCTGAACTCATCAGCGGTGAGATAATACTTTATGTTATTTGTATTTTTCGTGCGGTAAGTTCCTTGACACCTCCGATTTCCACCACATCAAATCTTTTCAGTCTTCTTTGTTGAAAGGGTGATTCCTTTTTCGTTCTCACAGCCTCTTCCACTTTTTGCATACGTGCCAAATACTTTCCCCTTGTCAAAACATTAAAATGAGTTGACTTTTCATCTTCAGATCTTAAAACCCCTTCGAGTGATCAATGCCTCCACTCTTTTTGACCTACGTGTCCACTTGATGAAGCGTCATGCATGATAACGAGATACAGAAATACACTCCGATCAATAAACAACACAAAATGTTTCAAAATGTCTAGGTTATGAGTAACTCCCACGCAAGGTACGCGTGCAAACTGAACGAGTCAAAGCCACGCAGCTACCTTTTAACGAGTTAAGACTACTTAAATCTCGGTCCAAAGCAGTTTAGACTAGGAGAAATCAGTTTTTCCTAATCATAATTAATTTATTTCAGGATAAACTAGTTCATCCTATCGCTCTTAGGATAAGCTGATTTTGCCTAGTAAAAACTGGTTTATCCTAAAATCGGATTTATCCGGTAACATCCATATGAACTTGTGCAGTTCGGGCAAGCATTGTCCGACTGAACGAAGACACTTCCTTTACAGATGACACCAGCCCTCAATACTTTTCTTAATGAAGGGTCTACCTGAATGTACAATAGAATATGGGACGTTCAGTTAAAAAAATATCTTACATATTTTGAATCTTTCTTCAAATTAAATGTTTCATTACATATTCAGAAATATGCATCCAAGAAGAGAAAATTTAATAGTTGAATTGTAAGCAATTCCCTGAACCAAAACCCTGAACTTTTAACAGCCCGCCAAGCCGCCATTTTGAGAGGTACCTAGTTATTTTATACTCCAGGGTGATAAAATGTTCACAAAGAGCTTCGGAATGAGGTGTCACATGCCCGCTCATTCTATTCAAAAAATGTGTTACAAGATGTTACAATTTTCCCGCCCAAAAATCAAGACGGGGATTTACTTTTGAAAAGCACTCTGTTTACCGTTTTCATCAATTTTCGACATACGTGAGGAAAACAATTCGATCTACTTAACGACACTTTAAGCTCAATATAAAACTTTACGACGCTTTACATCTAAGATGTACCTTCGCTATATTACCTGCACACAACAGTCCATCGTACAATGTTTATCAAGAATTCTGTTTTTCCATAAAAACGTAAAAATTTCCGCAAATACTAAATCGAATGACAAATGAGCTATCAACATATAATTACAACCATAAGGAAAAACTATCCGGAATGTCTTATGTGCTAGTCGACAGTTGAAAATTGAAGGATCATGTACGAGGTTTGGCCGTAAAATACGTATAAAAAATGTCTGGCGTCGTGTCAAGGCGTTGTGGAGGGTGGCCCGGTGGTTCCCTTTCTCTATGCAATCCTCTCTATGCTCAGTTCGAGCGGGAGTAGCATTTCCGTGTGCTTGTTGAAACTAACCTTTTTTAGCTTGCCGTCGGCATGGAGCCCTCTCTGATCGAGGAACAGCCCATCAACATCAAGTTTCTTGCAAGGCTAGGCAATAATGGCCGTGAGATTTGTGAGTGTTTGGAACAAGATTATGGAAACGATTCTCTGAAGCCGTCAACAAGTGGTTGAAAAGGTTTCGGGAAGACCGAGAAGAAGTGAAAGATGATAATCGCTCGGGACGCCCCTCCACATCGAACTCTCAGGGAAATGTTGAACTAATTCGAGGCTGTGTTCTCAAAGCCCGTCGATTGACCGTTAGAATGATGGCTGAGGAACTTTCAAACCCCAAAACAATCATCCACGAAATTCTGACAGGAAAACTTGAAATGAAAAAATCACGAAAATCGTTCCGAAGCTCTTGATTCCAATATAGAAAGCAAGCTTGCTGTGAGGATTGGCTGCAAGCAGAGAAAAGGGGGGCTTTCTCAACCGGGTCATCACTGGAGACGAGTCTTGGTTCTACGAATTCGATGTGGAGCTGGAATCTCAAAGCATGGAGTGGAAACAAGCCGGGTAACCGAGAACAAAAGTGTCGAAAAAATCAAGGTCCAATGTGAAAACAATGTTGATTGATTTCTTTTATGTTCGGAGCACTGTTCACCGGAAATTTGTCCCTACCAGCCAGACAGTGAACGGAAATTTCAACATTCAAGTTTACGTCGTCTCAGTGTGCCCGAGTTCGACAGGATTTGACACGAGGAACAGCTGGATCCTTCAACACGACAACGCGCCTGCTCACACGTCTCTCGTTATGCGTGAGTTTTTGTCCCGAATCTCAATCACCGTGACAGAACAAGCGCCTTATTCACCCGATTTAGCCCCTTGCGATTTCTTCCTGGTCCAAAAATGCAAAATGGTGCATCATCAAGGCAGAAACAGTGGAAACGGCGTTGACAGGAGTGCGTCTTGTCTCAGGGGGGTACTTTGATGAAGACCAAATGGAAATACCTGAACAATTGTAAAATGAAGTTATTATTCCACTTTTATGCGAATTTTCTGGACAAACCTTAAGGCGAATGTCACACGATCAGCATTTACTCTGATCCGTAAGTATTTATCACCGTGAAGACGGAAGTAATTATTGATGTATAACGTTAGGAAGAAATCCACTGACACTGACGGAATGATCAGTGAATACTGATGGTACGGAAATACTGATCGTGTGATGGGATATGACTTACTACGTTGTTTTTTATAACTCGTGTAACGTGGAACCCCTTGGATTCAACATTTTTCTACGAGTAATTTTCGAGGTGCATGTGGGCCTACAGGTTGGGTGGTGGGTTTTTCGAAGTTTATTGCAGTGTAATTTGGGTACAAGGTCTGTAGCAGTTTATATTTCTATCGTTATCCATGCAGTCAGGATCCTTATGGAATCCATGTTGTTGAAGAGAGAATATACACATCAACAATTTGTTATGACTAATCATGTTACAACGTAAAATCTCTGTTATGAGAAAAAACAGGAATGCTATAATCTGTAGAGCCTAACCATAGTTTAAAACTGTATTTTTTACTCCGTATCTTGTTCTCTTTGATAAACTGGGGAATGTATCAAGATTAAGCTATTGACGCATTAGTCCGAAGATTCTAAGGGTTTGAGTCCCGTACTGGGACACATTATCTGCTGATCGTCGAGGATATGGTAAGTAGGTGTTTTTGGAAATGTGAGCGAAATCTCTGAATGATGTTTTTGTTAGCCAGAATTTTGATAGCCGTGTCTCGTTACAATAAAATAAACCTTTGTACAATTAGGTAATTTGGGGCGCTGGATTCAAATATGAGTGTCAAAAAGTGCCATGGATCCAAATTTGATACAACGAATGGGTTACATGAGAACCCTCCTAGGGATCTCAACTCCAAGATGTTGTGGTATTCAAAATCTACGTGTACGATTTATCCAAGGAACAAGCTCACGACATCACATATACCCAGAGCTTTTGAAAGTTTGCTCATATGAAATTTCAAAATAATATAGGCTTTTGTCGAGAGAATTTTCTATTTCTATTATCTATTGTCTTGCGATGTTACAAGTGAATTAAGCATGGTGGGAATTTGTGGTAGTGAATTTGAATATGATCGCCAATAAATCGGGAAGTATTTGATGTAGTGAATGGGTCATTTAAGAGATCTTTATTAGTCTGGTAGTATCTTATGAGAAAAATACTATGACTCGGATATTTTGCTTAGTCTTATTCAATAAGACCCTTTTAAACGAATCTGAATGTGGCTTTGCCCAAATTTGCGACAAAAATGGTTTAAAGAAATTCCTAAAATTTAGCCTCCGCCAGCTACATCTCACTCAGGCAGAGCATGAACACGCGAGTGGTTAACAATTGAAAAACAAAAGTTTACAATAACAATGCCCCCTGAACTGCTTTGGGACTTTGTTAATGGATGTTTAAAAATCCTGAGAAAGGTGTAAATCGCCTTTTTTTGTTCAGAATGTCCTTAGGAACCCTGAAATAATGACAGGAGCGGGAAACATTTTTGGAATTGGAGAACAGGCACGCAGTAATCCCGCCCCACTCCGAGAAAATTGGCTATCTCCGTTCTTCAAAAACTTTACGAGGCTGAAACATTTTCACAGTATACAAAAAGTTTTCTCTTCCACATATATCTATATGGACCTTCTTGGAAGAAATTTATATATTTATATGGAAGGATAAACCCACGAAATAAGCTTTTGTAGCGCCAGTTGGTGTTTAAGTATTGTCTATATCACAACGAATGTGCTGAGCAGCGGTCTGAAAAATGCAGATGAGGAGATCTTGTCGGCTAGGCTATAACTGGAATCGTCCTCAGAAGCGTGTAAATCAGTCTGGGCCGACAATAAAGATTGCTTCCTGACTAGGGTTCATATACCACAAAACTGACGCAATTGGAAATGCACGGCTATTACGAAAGTGCATTATGTCTATTTGCTGGAACTTAATTGATCACATTTGATTTATCTTTGCATGTAATAAAAAGAAGAGGTATCACTGCGCGACTTGTTATTATTGAATTTACTTGCTTCTCGGAAATCGTTATCATTCACCATATTGTTCCTAAGAAAGCTTCTCAACATGATACAGTCTTTAATCTTAGCAGTGTGTTTATTTGGTCTGTGCAGTGCTTCTGTTTGGCGTGAGTATATAAGTACACTTTCAAACAGTGTGCGGGTCTTCTAAGCAATCATCACATACAATACAATACAATTCCTATTTCAAAAAAGTTTTTCTGTACTTTGGAGAGTCTTTGTAATTGATGTTAGAACACTCAAAAAATTGAGAATCGTGAGGTTGATATGATTCAAATGTATATCTTCATTTGAGCTGAATGTCATTCCTTAATTGGAAGGACACTGTTTCTTTGGAAAAATAGAATAACCTCAAACCAAACATCGGTGACCTACAATCAAGGATATACTCGAGAAAATTTATGTTCCTGGGTCGAGACTTTTTAATTGTATAACAGTAGATTTTTTTCACTAAAGAGGAGTATATATGGACTTTTTTATAAATGTTTAGAAAACCACAAGCATATTCAATATCCGTTCAGGTATTATCATTCGTGTGCCCTGACATCATTGTTAAATATTACCTTCCATGAGGCTATTTGGAAACAAAAGTTTGCGAGAATTGAGCAGCAGTTAATCAGTTTCAAGTTAATTTCCACCTATTTTTTATTTTAGCTGTACCTGGTGTTACGCTCTGTCATAGATCGCATCCAGATTTTGTTGAATGTTTGAATGAAAATATACCAAAGGGAGCTCACACCATAAGAAATGGTAAGATATTTTATTGCTATTATACTGCCTTATATAGAAGGGTCAATGAAAAAGCTGCTTTTTGAAGAAGCATTGTATCATATGGTTTGAAAGACAATGCTTGTCAAGACGAAAACAAGCTAAAGTTGCTATTTAAGTATCTATCGTATTATTTTGTATTCGTATCTTTTTGTGTAGTCCCTGCAATTAAACAGTAGGTTACTCGGTTGCTACACCGCATAATATGTGTAATCAAGTTTAACCGAACTTACAGGCTTCGGATTCGCAATTCGGTCTTTTTTGAGCTTAGGACATAGTTCAGAGGACTCAAATTATGACACCTAGGATACCCAGATTATGCGTTTGAGTTGATGAACTGAACGGTACTAGTAGGCAAAAGAAAACCAGAATTCTTGGATATCCATACCTCCATCAACTTGTACAACTTATGCCATACAGGCGCCAACTTGGTTTCCATATATTAAACAAAAATGTATCAATGCACAACCGAAATCGCTGGATGTATTTAGAAAGATGAAATTTCGCAGACAGGCTCTTCATAAAAGTTGGCATTATGAGGGGATTTTTAGAAAATGATAGTCTAGGGAGGTGAAGTAGGCGATAGGAATTTCATGGAAACGAAGATTGAGAATGGAAGTATTCTCTCAATTGATTTACTTGAAGCTTACAACAGTACAAACAAATATGATATTCCCCATTTTTGGAAATTGGTTTACCAAAGGGATGAAATAGGGGTTGAAAGTTTGTACGCAATTTTTAACTTCTCCAATACATATACCAAAATTTTCTACAAATGCCTAACAATACAAATTAATACGATTCAGCATTATTTGGAAATGCAACCCCTACGAGGGGTGGACACTCCATACTTTGCTTAATTCCTTCTTAATATTCATTCAAAATAAAAAAGCAGATAATGATGATGATGTTATTGTACTTAGCTTCTTTTTGCTCAGGCCATTAAAAAGCGTGATACGGTTATTTTAAACTATTTTTTTCTTTAACGGATGAAAATATAAGTCGTATAGTCATCGCTCATTAAAAATAATTTTAATCAATTGCGCTATGGGAAAAATATTGCAATTATTGTTATGAACGTATATTTTTTTACATTGAAATGCTTGGTTCGTCGGAATGTGGCATAAGCTATCTTTGCCGCAGAAAGTGTGAATTTTCGGGAATGAAATCCGGTCTGTCATGAATAAATAAAAATACTTTTTTGATTTTTACTGACTTCGTGAAGATGTAGCACCGAAATGTTAGTATCGAACTTATATAATAAATCAAATATAATGACATTGTACTGAAGAAGATTGTGATTGAAACGTAAACTACAGCAAAGAATATCTTTTAATACATGTGACTTTATTGGCCCGACAAGCATGGGAGATTATCGACAAAACCACAGGATAAGTTTCAAATGTTAAATGGGTCTAAATCACGTATTTTGGAAAAATATATATGAATTGCCAGTGCATTCCAACTTACTGAAGAGCGAAGTTGGGTTATTTGTCACCCAATGGCATATAGGATGCTGCTATAATATTGCTATCATTCTGGATTTACCATATTGTTGGTGTCAGAGATAGATACGTATGTATATCTGTCTCCAAGTAAAGTGCAGAGCATAGCAATTAAAGTTGATAGATACCCTTCCTCTGTTTCATTATGGAACTACATTAGATACTGAAAATATATTTTCCATTTTAGGAATTAAGGAAATAGGTTTTCCTAAAGTGGACCCTGTGAAAGCTCCATCTCCTTTCATAATAAACGTGGACAATGGAGGGCAGATGGCATTAACAATGAAACTCATAAACTGCTATCTTGATGGAGCTACGACTAATGCCAAAATAGTAAAAGGGAAGTAAGTATTTGTTTTATTTAATCCAATACCAATAGAAGGATATAGTGGTATATGGTGCAGTACGGAAAAGTCCTATTCGTTCCCTTGTATTAAGTCGCCGATTTTTAAAATTGTACTTATTAATGCATGTTTCTAGATTAAAGTAAAAGGTTACACAGCAAGGCAAATTAAAGTACAAGGTGGTCCATAGATCCATCGACATTTAAAAAAATATATAAGCAACAATTTACAAGCTCCCAGCGACCATTTCAAATATTTCAGCTGTTAGTTTTATATTAAAATATAGTAAGAAGCACCGTATGACAGAAGTGGCTGCAACTTACTGAAATCAAGTAGTCTGACTATAGCCTACTGCGTTACCAGGAAATCCTCCGAAATCAAGTCGCGTAATTTTCACATACTCGATAGAGTTAGCAAGAGTTATAATCTCTTTAGCAGCTGTTGCTGGAGACACTGGGTTTTTCAGATTTAACACTTTTATCCACTTGTTTATCAAACAACCGATCAGCTGCAAATGAGGAGGCCTGGATAGCCAGGTAGTTAGCGCGTTAAGCTACGAATAGACTAGAGGCTGGTAGGTTCGAATCTCCGTCTAGGAAGTTAATTCTGAGCCAGATCGGTGCAAGATCAACATTGGTACACCGCATCACTGGAGCTGGTTTATTCTACAATCAGTTACCAGTAGAAGGCTTGTGGAGTAGTACTGTGTTGATACTCTGGGGTTGGCAAAAAGACTCTAAGGTGGGCTAGTTGGCCGGCTTCGCCTCCCCACAATCATTACTATTACTTTTTATAGAACTGTATATTCATACAAAAGCCTATGTTAGAACACGAATTTTTCATATTTATTGCGTATTTATATACAAGATTTTTGTATATCGAGACATTTAGATGGTAATTGCTAATCGACTTTAATTAGATGGAAAAAATCCAAATTAATGTAAAAAACATAGCTGTTATCCCTACTCAGTAGCATGTCAAATTAATTGATTCACATATTTACTATGATTGCCACTGCTTTTTAACTAGTTATAACAAGCTGGCTTCTCGAAGATGTCAAATTACAGAACTCATGTTCTTCAAAATATTTTCTAAAAATGCCAAAAATATTGATTAGAAGGGCTTAATTGGATATTTGATGGTGGCTACAAAACTGGGAACTAACCGATTTTGCAAAAGCAAATAATCAAAGTCACAGCGCCTACACGTCATTCGAGCTCTTATAAGCCATCCTTTAGGATATCTTCCTTCTCTTCTCTTACATCTCTATATACTCGTACAGTGCTTTTCAAAAAGCCCCTCCTCTCCACTTTAATTTTGAACGGGTAAAGTTAGCAAGCTGGAATTCCGGATAATGAAATTGATGCAAGAGTATTAAATTGAATATATGACTGTATAAGTCTCAGTCTGCAACTGGAGGTCCAGTCACCACATAACCCGTAGATGGCGACGATTTTAGCTGTGTAGTACATTTATTAGACAAGCTTGGGAGATTATCTGTCCATGGTTGACTGTCTTTCGTTGGACCGTCGAAAGCAAAGCATGTTTAGTAAAGGCAAAGGTCCTATGTACCACCTTGATAGACAACGACAAAACGACATTTTCGATAGATTTGTAGATGTAATCTTTTTCATTATGATTTAGATTCGACTTTGACAACGACTGTTCTTGGTCCACTGATGTTGATATACCTGTCTTGGATTGGTATGGCGAGTATGCGCTCCAAGGAAAGCTCCTGATGTTTCAATTGAATGGCCATGGAAAATGTAACTTCACCTTGCGTAAGTTTTGACTTTCTTCAGTTGGTATGTTTTTATGTCTAATTCCAACAGTTTGTTGAATCTAGGCGACTTTTCTGAGTCAGATGCAAGAGGGTGTAAATAGTATACATGACTTTGTACCCTGCTTTGAGTGGTATCTAATGTGACTCCGATGAACTGCATCAAAAATGCATAGTGGTACGACTGCACTTTTTGGAATGTATTGTTAATTGTAGACTGTCAGAGGTGTAAAAAAAACAGTACAACGGTTGTTTCCAAAAACAGAAAAGGCAATGCCTTGTAGCTGTCTCGTATGTATAAAGTGATAGAATCATATCAGGCAAGGCTTGTCTAAGAAATTAGGATGATGAAAGAGTTATGTCTAGAGGGGGAGAGATTCTGGTTTCAGGCTTAGGGCGCACTACGGTTTTCTCCCGCAAGCGGTAAGCCACCAAACCGCAAAACCGCCCGAAAAGCACACACTACGGTTAAAAACCGCGAAACTGGACACGATTTTTACAGTTTGAAGATGGATTTCAGAAGAGGTGTATGTGTTGTTGCTTTAAGAAGCTAAAAAAGAAAACCTTATAAAAAATTTCGCAAATATTTGGTCCATCCACTGACTAGCCGAAGATTTGAGGAAGGTCTCTTTCATAAAAAGTATGAAGATTTAAGAAAACATCCTGAGAAATTTTTCATTTACTATCAGAACGGAAAGTTCTGTGCTTTAAGCACAATGGCGTTTATATCAACCAAATTCCATCTTAACACTTTTCACACTGTGTTGTTAGATGTACGATTACTGAGAAAGGTAAATACGCAAAAAAATTCTTGTCCTCCCGCTCATCAATTTTCAGTAGTTGGTAACCTTCCCTCCCCGTTTTTCCATCGTCACACGTCCACAAGAACATTCGCTACGAGAAGTCCCTCCGCCTCAAAATTTCCCACCGGATCCGCCTCCTGTGAGTGAACTTATATTTTCGTTCAGATTACACGTGTCTAGCAACGCCCCACCCTCACCCTCATTTTCAATGAATTGTTTATTCTCATTATTTGGTTAACTTTCACTGCCGCTATGTCTGTTCTAATACGGTTCAGTGTTCCCCATGTCGACCACTCAAAGTCAGTACCACTGGGCATCTCCTGTATAAGCCGGTAGTTGGTAAGTGGACTGTCTAGAGTCAAGTCCAGGAATCATCTACGGAATTTAAGTATTTCTGATTTGCATTGAACTCCGGACAGAGAACGGAGCTCATCAATAATTTGTTCAGGCCTTTCTATGAACTCTTACGCCTTTTTGAGGGAGAAATCATACAGCTTGTTACATTACTTCTGTGGTTAATTAGCCAAGTATGACATTGGAAACAAAGAAAAAAATAGCCTCCAGAGCAAGGAAGTCCCTCTAAGACATAGTTGCTTTCACCAGAAAGAAGAAATCAGAGTGGTTAGGACCTCTATACCTTCTGGATAAACAGTTACAACTGTCGTGGGAAATCAAATACCTATGGGTAATACTAAACTCCAAACTAACCTGGAACTCGCAGATCAAACGCGGCAAAACATGGGGATTGAGCCCTTCCACGATGCAGTGGACGAACATCATATTGGTAATGCCCATGATGACTTATGCTTATCTGGTTCTGCATGAGGTGTTCCAAAGAATTACAGTACCACACACGGTTGCCGCGTCAAATGTGTGCGCGCCAATATAAGGTTTATGAACTACAAATTTTGGCGCGGCTTTTTTCCGCTAGCCATTCTGTAACAAGTCGCTGGTTTTAAAATCAGTCGCAGGAAAAACCGTCAGTGCAGCCGCTTACATTAGTTTACTTTACTCACAAAATCTGGCGGTTAAAATCCGCGGCGGTTAAGCCGTAGTGCGGATTAAGCATTAAGGGTGGCACCAGCCGCGAGGATTCAAAAGAAGTTAGTTTGCTGCTGAAAATATTTAAAATTGGCGATTTTAGGAGTTCTCTGTTCAAATCATGAGTTATATCCATAGAACTGAAGCTACACAACTCTACTACATTCATCTAAAGAACCATTTTCATCACGAATTACATATATTTCCAGCAACATCTCGGTTGGTACTCGTCACCCTAAGAGGTATTTAATTTCCTACACCACTGGCGTGGAAGTATTAGAATAGCGAAAATTTTCGAAAATGAGATATTATGTTGTTTGGGTGTTGTACATGTACATCACGAAAAACCACGTCAGTAATTTCTGTCGGTCTATCTGTTTGTCTATCTGTCCGCTCGGATTTTGATGAAATTTTGACACAAGGTTACTACTATGCTAAGGACGGAAAATCTTTATAGTTTTTAGTGACAGCGAAGCTAGTGATAAAAAAGGACAAAAATAAAATCACCAAAACTGACGCAGACAGGAGATCCTGATCATTTTCAAGGGGTGAAAAATTGGGGGTGGGGTTGTAGGAGGGTATAACTCAAATTTTTTATAGTGATATACGTTCACAGCCGTGGTAATTATTCGGACCTGTTAGGCATATTTCTCTAATCATCGCACATTAACCTTAAAACTTGAATGTCGGAGAAATATTTCCGACCCTCGCCAGTCGATCATATGCTTCGCGGTCCTGTCGATGCATGTGTCTAGCAGTCGGCTTCCGCTGCTCCACTGAATGTGAACCGATCGCCATCCACGCGTCCACGCCTGATGTACAGATAGTTACAAACACCTGCAAGGAAGACTATCGTAACTCAGTTTTGGTTGAACTGAGATATAGGCATTAGTAGATTTTCTGATGGATTTCGTTGTCGAAAAATGCCGATCTCATCAAAAATATGTTGCACACTGCAGTAATTCTTGTATATAGAAGGTTATAAATGGTATTACAATACAAACCTTAAAAAGTTTTGCTGACTTACTATAGTTTCCGTTGGATCAATTAAAGAAAAAAGTACACTTGCTCTAGACCTAGTAGGATATTTATTGAAATATTACAGTATTTTTCAACCAAATGGTCGAAAAAAACCTCTTTAACGCCAATCTCACTCAAATTATATTCATCTTCCTGTTCTCCACTCTCATCGTTCTCAACTTATGTATTTTTGGCACCGTTAATATTATGTCCTCTTTGTATTTTTTTATCTTCCTTGGCTTTTAGAGAAAAATGAAAAGCAGGTAAGTCTCAGGACTGCTAGGAAGACTGTTTGCTTTTGATTTACATAGGTCTAATAAACCATTTAATTTTCTAGCATCTACTGGAAGCAAGCTTGGGTAGAGTAAAGGTAGTTCCTGAAGCGTATTGTTTTGCGGTCTCATTCTCTGATAAATAATCAATGTTACTATCGTGAGAAAATCAGCATAGTAACACTTATATTTCATTTCACGAGGCTCTCTATCTTATTCATTTTCAACTTTTCTCCACAATCGTCTTTGTTCCAATTTTCTGATTTTACCTTTTATTTAAAACTAATGGATTTACGACCAACCACAGACAGGACTCTTTAGCCCTCATCAGTACGATATAGGTCTGTATCAGGTACAGAACTGGAGATGAATGAATGAAAAGCAAACACGTGAGTGCCGCCTTAGCAAAACCGAGGACTGTAGTAGTTGAATTCTGGTGATGCGACAGATCCCAATGCATAACGTGCAGAAGAAGACGATGCTATGTTTGAACCTTTTTGTTGTGTTAAAAGAATTCATCACTATTTATGAACTAAAATTGCCTGAATTTAACGGTTCAGTAACTGCACTTAGCTTCTTTGCATCTGCCAGAATTAATTTGGTTCTTATTCTTCATACCGCTAATATTTGAAATGTTTTCGCTATTAATTATCGTAACCTCAAAATATGCCACGAAAATCATAGTAAGTCAGACAGAAGGTTTAACACTAAGCAAGGGTTTTTGAGTTACTATAGTCTTCGTTGCAGGGGTCGAATATGTGCCCGCAGGAATTTTTCTCAGAAGAAGAGGGAGGGCTATCCATCGAGAAGAGGTAACTTTTGTCTGAAAGTGTAACTGCATCCAAAACTTTTCTAAGAGCGAGGGGGAGCATATTTTCTCAGGGAGCCAAATCCTAAAGGGCTCCAAAATTGTACAAAAAAACATGGCAAATATGCAGATTTTAATTGTATGAGTCTGTTTGGCTAACTTGATCCGTTAATTTTTTTGTGATGATGCTGGAGCATTATAACTGTGAGCACCTTTAACATGAAATGATCAGAAGTGTTTATAGTTTAATAGCAGCGAATTCAATTTTAATAGAAAACTAGCGTTTTTGACGTGTTATTCTAGTAACGTCTCTTTAAATTTTGAGCAGAATTTGAAGTAATAGGAGTATACATAAAGTGGTGGTGTATAAAACACCTTACTGACAATTGATAACATATGGCGCGAGTGTAATTACACTGTGTATCTGATGCTGGCTTAGTCGGAGTCACTTTCTTCATATGGCGCTGCCGTAGGTGGTACTAGAGATTAGTGACGAAAGTATTATCTGTATTGTACCAACAATATGCGGTTAGTTTTGTATCACAAACACATTTTTGCAGTGGATACCAGGATCCACCAGGAAATGAGGTGTCATAGATACAAGAAGAACGGGACAACACATATTAAGGTCCACAACTATACAACGGACATCAACCCTAGAACTTTGATATACGATTTACAGAACCTAATACCGGGTAACCCCGAAATTAGCCAACAGGTACTGAAGACTCTAAACGAAGATCCGCTATTGATTTGGAAGGAGATGAAGCCAGCTTTCGACACCATAGTTGGCAAGATACATTTGGATATAAGCAACAAGCTCTACTCGAAGATACCTCTCGACGAAATATATTTGCCATAGTACCGAGTAATATTTAAGAACAATGTCAATGAAACATTCCATACTCTATCTACTGTTGCCTCCCATTATCAAAACAATACATTTTTGACCAAAGTTTCACCTGCCACGACAGGCATGGGGAAAATTTTGAACTTGCCTTAAATTCTCAAAAGTTCTGATATTTTTTAGGTGTATCTCATGGATTTTCATGCTGTTGATTATAACGGAATGTTACGAGTATATCCGTTAAGATTACATGTTTTATGTTTAATTCTTGTGAACTCCATACAAGTTTTAAAGTTAAAGACCCCGCAACTTTTGAATAAAGGAGGCAAAAGAGGGTGAAATGACATGATACTGTAGTGCTTCAAATATCCATAAAATTAAAAATGAAACTGTAGTCCTTTTCATGGTTTTGGCAGCTTCGTCATCAATTTGTACACTGGGCAAACCAATGAATTCAGACTAGGTAGAAGGAGCCAGTGAAGGACTTTTCTTTGTCTCCTAATTCTCGGATCAAAGTGTACACCACGATTTCAAGACTTGGTATTCATTACATAATTTGTTACGAGCAGCAGAAGGATAATGGAGGTAGATGTATCCACCGGTATTATTAGTGGGTTCATACAAAGTTGTCACTTTGGTAGGCATTGGTAGACAAATGAGTCTAAAGTATGCACTAAAAGTGAGTTACTTAGGTGATAGGCTTGGCTCCCAAGCTATTCGAATTCGCTGGTAGAAACTAAGAAGAACGTACTATATGTCTGTGGCCTTATGCACAGACGTAGACTGTATGTTCATATGTGAGAGAGTTAGGTTTATTGAAGCGATACCGGTTATTTAACTGTGAAACACACCCGTAGTAAGTAACTTCAAAAGTAATATTATGTCGAGTTCTTATAACATTATGTAGGTTTTCTGACATTATATAAGTTTTCCTGTAATATGTTACGTTTGAACTAAGTGACATTCACTAGCGGCTGTCTAGTGCTCAAGTTGACATCTTACCGATTATTTTTTGGCATTATACATGTTTTTTGAGTAATAATCCCGCTGCCAAAAAGCGTGACAAGAGCTATACATCAAAAATTGACACTTGATGGTAGGTACGTGACCTCTTAGTTGTAATATTAGAGTTAAGCTTTTTAGATTGTGGAATATTCCTATGTAAATATATGAAATAAAGTTTACCCTATTTTATAGATCTTATCTTTTCTATATAAATATCGTAACCTTTTGGAGCATGATCCACGTATTCGTTTTTAAAAAGTCAGGGTGGGTGGACCATGGAAGTCCACTAGAACGAATAAACAGTCATTCTTTCATTCATTGGATAAATACGACAAACAGATCATTAAGTATCACTTTGCTAAATAATATCATTTACAAAAAACCTTTTTATGTTGTAGATTTGATCAGTGATCCTTATTAACGGAATTAAGCTTCATTAAGCCCTTCCTAATGGCCTAGCGCATATAATAAAACCAGGGTTATATTCGTAGGAATGTTTTAATGAGTATTATATCGATACCAAGCAATCTTTTAATGGAATGGAAAAAATCAAACCGACTAAAATAACCTTTCTATGGATCCGTTGTTTGAACGTCTGAAGTGTTCCAGATGGTACAAAACCGGCATAATATGTCCGACCTTCTCTAGGTACTAATATTTTTGTGATTCCTATATGTTCGTAATAAGGTTCTTGTATTCTAGCAAAGGCCAACTGCCAATTTACCGTTGGCTTCTCTAGGAACATTACCGATGTTTCATCTAAAATGGAAATGATGTAATAATTTTTTCTTTACTACCATCGCAAATAGTTAATGTAAAAGTCATGAGAGGTAATGATATATTTGAACACTCACGTTTTGCTGTGAACCCGCAATATTATCTTAACGTTAGCGACCGAAATCAACAGAGCAACAAGAAACTCTATTGACAAAATAACGACACAAGCGACTCGCCGCTGCGTCTGTTTTCTTAAGTTCGATGAGTGTTAGTGTCAGCAGAAATAATTTATCATCTGATGGCAACAACTATGACTTTTCAATAAATTGACCTTTATTATTTTCTTATGGAGCACAGCTTAGAGAAGCAAAGGCTTTTGGCATGGTAGAGACCGCCCGTCGATGTGAGACAGGCTTGAAACTGACTGCTCAGGAAGAGTCACTGCACCTCTTCTCAATCGTATCCAGTATGGATGGTGTAGTCAAAACAGCAGCACACCAGACAAGTGAATCGTATTTCTCACTGGGTCTCTACAGAGTAAGAGGATTAGATACCGAAAAGTACGAGCTAGCTCTAAACATATGTTCCAGCTTCTCTTCAGCAGCTTCTTCTATTGATTAGACATGCAAAATCATGTCGTCGGTGATCCATCGAGTCGAAAGGAATAACCCCTCAAAGTTCGATCATCCATCAAGGCTCATTGTTCGCTAGGGTGCCTCTCGCTAGATCATATACAATGCTGTATCTTAGAAGCATTGATAATATGGGAGCATAGATTCTTCGAAAATGCCAATAGAACAACACTACTGAAGAATGTAAAGATCTTGCTTAATGTATTCTACCTGAAGATAAAATTATCCGAGATCTATGAAAGTTTGTCACAGCTGTGTTTATCACTTCCGTACTAATTAGAAATCTACTTTGACAAGGCTAGTGTCCCATAGACAGCTCTGCAGTCAAATATATACTTTATACTTATATAGTTGACTTCAGTGTCATCTATGAGACGCTCAGCATTTCAAAGTAGATTTATAATTTCTCGGATATCTTTTTGGACGCGGTAATGTAGTATTATTTTGGCTTACTTCAGGTACAATACGTTAAGCAATGCTTGGACTCATTTTCGCCACAACTTCCAGCTTCCATCCGCATCTAAATAGTCTTATAAATTCTGTAAATGTGAATCTGGATGTTGTGTCGCGTAGCATTCACGAAATTGACAACATGATGTAAAATGCCTTGGTGATGTCAAACCTTGAACACTATGAATCATTTTTAGAATCCCTGTTTTGTAACGACTTGCGACTCATTAGGAAAAGTACAGAGTACATGTCGTACCAGATAGATGGTTTCTATCCAGAAATAAGTGTACCTCAGGATGTACTATTATAGAGGTACGATATGCTTAGTTTAGACAACAGAAAAATAATTTACTCGTTAATCGGTTTGTGCAAGGTTATTCACAAGCAATGTGATTGTCCACATTTTCTCAGAAGCATATCATTCAATACCTACACCAAAGTGTTTCTCAAGAAATAATCTAACGTTTTGTTTATCAAACAAACCTACTTCTGCTCTTATATTCCATGTGTAGCAGCTTGAACACACGGCAAAACCGGATTGATATAATTCTGTAGTTTCTTGAACAGTATATGTCTATTACTGCATATATGTACTGTGTAAACTTTGATTTTTTGACCAATAAGTGGTTGACATGTTGGTGATGTATTTAAATAAGTTAATAAATGGACAAGTACTTATTTAGTAAGGAAGACTACAACCGATATGTAAAGCTAGTCTAAAGATCATGATCATTTTGTTTATTTTGATCAGTTTTGAAAGGAAAACAGGCAATTACCTCCGGGTAATTGCTTTCAGATGACATATTGTACATAGCGTGTTTGTATCAATTATGTAGAATAACCTGACTTATCAACAGCCTTCGAGGACGGACGGCACAAACTATGACATTGCAAAAACTACATCCAGAGGGGACCTGATTATAATTCTAGAAATCTTAGTAAGTTTTAGGCAAACAACACAACATATTCTACATTTTGTCTTAAGTTTCATGTAACCCGTTGAGCCTTATAACCTCAATCATTAGAATTAGAAAAATCCATTTATATATTATTGGTTCCATTAGGTTGCACGTAGATGCTCCGAGCTAGCGCTGCATGAAGTATGGCATAGCTCGGTCGCTGAATATCGCGCGGTAACAAGGAATTCGAATAGAATAGACTCAAAACCATGGCAGAACTTCTGGGGTACGCATATTTACTTCGATATTTTCAATATGCAAACTGAAATGTCCGCCGCACAAATCGCATTTGAATTGTATAGTTTGCAACATGTGCTACAATAGGTACCGCAAATATTTCAGTTTACAACAAGATATTGCAAGCAGGACCCCAAAATGCCAAGAATCAAATCAAATTTCGAAATGAGAAGAGATCTCTCTGCAGACCTTGAAAGGTCCCGCATTTCGTTCTACCCTGGGCCTCGTTAGACTCAGACCCAGAACTCCTTTGCACCCAGGAACATCTACACTACTTGGGACGGCCTTATTGCAGGTACCGAAAAATGTGACGGATGCATGCTAAGCATTTTTTCGTCTTGTTTAGATTTCTGAGAATCTACAGATGCATTATTGATGGTAATGCGTGTTTTTATGGACCGCTTTACGTTGTCTGAACGCGCTTATCGATGAACGTATTAAAATCACCACTAATTATTGATATTAAACCCACTTAAAAATAATTTCGAAGCAAGAATATTAAGATGTAATTTGAAGGAATGTTTTTATACCTGCAAACAGGACAAGTTTTTTAATGGCATAATTACCTATTAGCAAAGTGATTTGTAGCATTACCTCAACTTTCTGTTATACATAGTTATTACTCTTTTATGAACATACAGGTATCTACCAACTACTGCGCTACGCAGCGGACATAGCTTTTGAAAATGTTGGTTAAAGAATTGTGCGTCATAGCTATCGCTTGCTTGAGCTTCAGCTTTGGGTATAACTGGCGTAAGTATCATAACTTCATTTATACATTCCTTGCTTATTTTAAAAAGCCTCCTCTTACTGGTCCAAATCTTACTACAGTCTCTTCGGACCACATTTGTTCCGCCTCAAAACAGACATGTATGGTTGTAGAATATACACTGAAACAAACAAGATACGCGATCGTCATCTCAATTCGCTTGTCGCTCTCTGCCCATAGGCATTCAGGGAACGCGCAGATTTGAATATCGGGCATCGGTGTTTGATAGTTAGTAGGTATGATATGAATATACTGTAAGCAATTATTTGGTTCACTTTTTCTAATGCGAGTTTCCACGTAATCTGAACTATGATGAGAAAAACTCTAAGCTTATTTCATCGAAAAGCTCATCTTGGTCGAATGCTATTACCTTTTTGTCAAAACAAAATCTTTATTGGATTATTTTTTACAAAATATGGTTTTGACAGACATATGATTTAAGACACAGCTCTCTGCGATTTGTCCAGCAAGGCATACCTTATATGCAAGTACTATTCTGTATCGGTACGCATAGGCAAATAAAAGTCTGGCCACATGTGTTTGGAAATCGGAATAACCCAAAAAAGTTGCACATTTTCATCTAAAAAGTGCCAAATGCGATTGTTTAACAGACCAGGTCCAATATTCCTAGGTCTTTTCGAAACGGAATTCTAAAGGTGCTACTTAAAGTACTAAAACTGCACTTTAAGAGGCGTAGATGAACAAGAGACTATTTGCAATTATTAATATTAGTTATGGATGTGTCTCGAAATGTTTCCAATTTTATTTTCTGTACTACAGGTGCAGGGATTCATTTATGTCATAGATCCAGTGCAGATTTCTACAAATGCTTAGAAGCAAGTATCGCCGACGGACTGCACTACTACAGAGATGGTAAGACAGTCTCGAGTTTATCACGGGCTCTAGCTTAGGTAATTTCGAACCAGAGTTCTCAAAACACGGCAATATGCAGTTATTTTTGACTACCATCCTTACTGGGTGGAAGTGGCTATAAGCTTAGAACTAAGTCAATCCCCAGTGAACATGATAACTCCAAAATAACGTAATTATTCGGTCGGAAACGTCAATGACTAAAAAATAACGTATTTATTGACGCCTTTTTTATGACGACAACAAGAAAAAAAGAAAATTCTACGATAAACAAATCGATAATAACAAGTGCGACAGTGTAAAGATGTGGAAGACTTTAAAAAGACTGATCAATTCGAAGCCGCATGATTGTGTAAATCAAGTTCAATTCGAAAACGCTACCGAAACAAATTCTTTGGTGATTGCAAACAAACTAAATGAATATTTTGTGGAAAGTATTGTTGATATTGTAGGTACTGCCAATGCTGCACCTGACTATATGAAAATCAGTTTCCAGGGGGATATGTTGCATACACTTTCAAAATTTCACAGCGTATCATTGAATTATCTAAGAAAAAAA